ATATTCTTACTTCTACAAGTAAAATTGCTACCTTATACAAATCATACCTAAATTCTTTATGACACTAATTCTAGTAATTCAAGATTAAGCTTTTCACTAGTACTAGTAATACGCATGCTTCACACATTTCCTTGAAACGCTATTCCTTAAAAATTTTATATAATTTGAACTCAATTAATAGAATCCTGTCCAATAAATCATAAAACAAGAACACGGGCAGCACTGGAGAGTGATCATTTTGTGAATATAAATAAGATATTGGTTTAAGTTTTTAAGACCATCTTCAAAATTTAGGATCAAGAAAAATGCTTCTTAAGAAGGTGAGGATGAGGGTGACATACTTCGAAATTATATATTTGAAATCATTTAAGAGAATCCTACCAAATAAATTAGAAAAGCAAGTACTTAAGCAGCATGAAGAGAGAGAGGGGTTAAAATTGGTACTTCCCATGGTGACTTTGCGTCCAAAGTCGGCATTTATTCACAATAGACAAATCAAAGATAGCATTCTCATAGCTCAAGAACACATACACACTCTAAGAATATGATTACTGAACCCAGAATTTTGATAAAGTCGGATATGGAAAAAGCTTACAATAGAATGGATTGGGATGTTTTACAAGAGATTACATTGTGTATAGGCTTTTGGGAGAGGTGGAAGCGATGGATTAAGGGATATCTTTCAAGTACCTAGTTTTGTGTGTTAATTATTGAAAGCCTGAAAGGCTTTTTTCAAGGTGACCAGAGGCACTAGACAAGATCATCATCCCCCTCCATTTTCATTTACTTTAGTGGCAAAGGGATTTGGTATGATGTCGAGAAATATGGAAGAGAAGGATTGATTTTGTGGCTTTAGGTTCTGCCAAGGTATATCCCATATATGTTATGAAAATGACATTTTTGATTTTTTTGTAACACAAAGTTGGATCAGATTCTTAATATTAGCATATTTTTTAAGTGGTATGAGATGACTTTGTGATTGAAGGTCAAACTTGATAAAACCTCATTTGTTTGGCTGGCTTGCCAAAGAGATTGTGTGCTTCTTTACATCTTATGATGGCTACAATGTGGAACAATTTCCTATTAAAAGTCTTGAGTTGCCTCTCTTGAACTCTAGGCTACTAAGAGCTACATGGCATCCCATTATTCAAAGATTTCAGGTGAAGTTAAACGTGTAGAAGACTAAATTCTTATACCCAGGGGTCGAATAAGATTTATTAAATCTTCTCTAATTTATCGGTTTACCAAATGTCTCTTACGCTTGTTGAGCAGATGATGAGAAATTTTTTTTGAGGGTCTTTTAATGAAGAAAGGAAGTACCATCTGATAAGTTGGGATGTCGTACTCCTAAGAAAGAAAGGGGGGACGGGATTGTGTAGAGTATTAGGAAACTTAAGCTTGTGAACAAATTGTTATCAATGAAATGGCGGTAGAGATGTTTGCAAGGTGAGAATCAGCTATAAGGGCAAGTTTTGGAGGCTAAGTACGGTCTAGACTGAAATTCACAGCTTATTAACTAGGGGAAGAGGTGGTGTCCATCTATCTAATACGTGGAAAGGTTTCTTATGGTGTAAATCAATATTTGAAAGGAACATTTATGGTTGATTTGTCAAGGGGATAAAGTGTCATTTTGGTCCCACAAATGGTTATGGGATAGTCCTTAGAGGGCGCGTATCCTAAGCTATTTGCTAGGGCTACGCATCCTATGGCTAGGGTAAAGGAGATTACTGAGCATGGTGGCTTGAAGTAGATCTTGCATATAGGATGCATATAGAACAGGGTTCGTGATGTGGTGATCACACAACTCACTCAAGTGTTAAAGCATTCGGAGCTTATGCATTTTCCTGGGATGCGAGGTAGTTTGGGAGATAGAAAATGACAACTTATTTTATGTTAACATATCGTTTGTTTTCACAATCATATTATATGGGCGCAATCGGTGCCTAACAAGATTTGAAAGGGTAATTCCCCTTGAGGTTCAAGCTTTCTTGTAGATTGTCATGCCAGATAGTGAAAGAAAAACCTATGTGATCTTTTATCGGGGGAATATATATATATATATATTATTTTTTTTTTTTTGGTCAACAGATCACTTACAGGTGGTATTTATTATAATAATATAAATTTCAAAATAAAATCAACATAACAATAAAACCAAGATCTTAACAACTTGATACCATTGAAACAACTATATACTATGCTTGAGAATAAAAGATAAGATTGCAAGAAACAAAAAAAGAAGACTGCTGGAGATTACCTTAACTGGGTTTATTACACCCAATATCGAGTCACTACCATCCGATGGCGCGGGATCAACGGTCTAGCTTCAATTTTGAACCGGGAAAGCAAATTTCGGCCAAGCCACACCAATAGAAACATGAACCCCTTTGATCACAAACTCAAACCCTAGGTGAAATCTCTTAGCAACCTAGTTTGAAAGAGATGTATTCTCTTTTTACTAAACCCTAAAACCCTTAGTTGTAAATCCATATTTGAGAGATAGGAGAGAAGAACTCCATAATCTAAACCCTCATATTCTTTCACAATGTGAGAGATAGATCAAACTTCTTTCACAATGTGAGAGATAGATCAAACATGAGAGAGTAGTGCGTGCCCTTTTTGGGATATGAGAGAGAAAGATGATAATTAGGTACAAGAGATAAGGTGTATAAATTTTGGGTAGAGACAATCAATTTTTATAGGCTTTGAATAAGATTAGGGTTTCTTAGGATTTTCCTTAGCTTGCTTCTTCTTGTGAGATTGAACATAGACCGTCGATCAAGGGTGACTTGTGGGGTGAGAAATCGATCAAGGGTGACTTGTGGGGTGAGAGATCTGAGTCATCCATTCCATAGATGGGCCATCAACATTATGGAAGGTGCATGAAACATTGTTTCCCTTTCCTAAACCATTTTCTCATCAATATATTTAAATAAAATAAATATCATGCATTCTGCAAAATTGCACGATCCATGTCACATATTCCATAAGGATATATCAAATAATATCAAGTAGATAAATACTACCAAATATAAATAAGATAAGATCCATATCAATTCAAATTGACTATATCTCTTTAAAACAAACTTGTTACAAAATAGATAAAGCCATGGTCAATATCCCTTCAAAGATTTGACCACATGCAACGAATCAAACTAACCTTATCTTAAAAGCAAACAAGAGAATCCAAAGATGGTGGGGGCGTGCCATCTTTTTGTGGCACATGTGGGCCCCAAAATTGAATAAAATAATTTAAAATATATATTTGAATTTTTATAACGTTGTAAGAACAATAACTATATTTTTATAAGTCCAAAAATCACAAATAAAATATTGACAGATTCATAAA